AAGAGCTACCTAATTTCAAAGACAGTGTAAATCATTTGTCAGTTCTGACTGGTTTCAAATTATGCCCTGTTCTTGGGGACTGGAAACCTGTAAATCCAAAGGTACACCTGACTACATGGTTTGTTATTAAGAGATATGCCCCAGGTGGAGGCATCTTCAAAGCCAATATAGTTCCTTTATAACCGGTGTCAAATTGATGTATATATTAAAAACCTTGGAAAATGATCTCAAAAAGGAAGTAACAGCCCAAGGAGCCATATGTTCAGGGAACCTAACAGGTTTCCATTGGGACCAAATTTCACTTCACCTTTTTGTCCTTATGTGCAAATAAAAACTTATCTATAAATATGCCATTAAGAGTCATGCGAATTTGTGAGATTTGCAGACTGAGGAAAAACTACACTAAATTAATCAAAACCAAGTTGTTGGAAGATGAAGAATTTGATTAGGTATCAGAACAAAACATGAAATTGAGCTGAATTTATTTGAACTCCCTAAGTTTATGCCTTCAGAGAGATACACTATTTCTCTGGTTAATGAAGAAAAGGTCCATGAATAGTTAATACATTGCTTAATTGTGATGCTGATGGATCATTTGTATTTCCAAGTTTACATTAATACAAAGTTAAAATTTTTTTGTTCTTACATAGGTTGCTACATATTTAGACTTCAGGGAAATTTCCAAATGCCAACTAATACTCTACCACCTAAAAGTCTGTGCTATGCTAAGCACAAAAGCCAATTTAATGGTTTTCCAAAGGGTAGAAACAAAAATGTATTGACATTTATTAACACTAAGTCTTTTATATAACTTTTAAGACTTTTCAATTAAAAAACTCTTCAGCATTTTGTATCATTTTACTAGAGCCTATCAATTTTACATTCAGCTACTGTAACGGAATGGCTGGGAACATTCTAAAAGGAAAAACGATTCACTGTGTGCTTGTGGTTAGTAGTTTTTCATGACTAGGAGCAAAGGTGATATAAAAATACCAGGATTTCCTCAAATCATTTTATTTTTGTTAATGAAATTTACAAACAGAAGGATAGAAAGAATGTAAATGAAGTCGTAGTGTATAGATGACTGAGCTTTATCAAACCTTCACATGTTTTTTAAACGGAGCAATTGTGTGTGTAAAGTTATACAGAGGTAAGTAAGGGTCAGCAGGGAAAAAAATTATACCGCATAGATTATCATTATCTTCCAGCCACTTTCGTTTTTTCTTCAGCGGCTTCAGGGAAGCAGTTTTATGATGTTAATTTAGACACCTGGTTAGCTAAGAGCGGGAGACGCAGAAGAGGTCGCTTTCGCGTTCGGCCCCAGTTCTACCGGTTCTCTGTAGCTGTGTCCTGTTTTCTCCCGCTTAAGCCATTAAAACCGTCAATGGTTTTTCATCTCTAGGATTACATTATGTAAACCTGTATTCGTATAAATGTTTTCACGCTAGGGGGAAAAAGTGTATTTTAAGTTCACCACTCAGCTGTTACGCTCAGAAGTTAGGGGGAGTTATCTGGAAGCCTTGGGGGCCCGGCCTGCCTCAAACAGGTATGGAAGACCTGTTTCAGCAGAGACCCGAGTTCCGGTGCAGTATGTCGCGGGCCAGCCACGGCGCTGGTGTTCGTGGCTAGGGTCTTCCAGGCCAGAGCAGGGAGCGGCGCTCGCCGACACCTCCTGGCCCCCGGCGGTGCCACAGCCTCGGCTGCGGGGGTGGGCGGCCGCCCCTCTGAGGGCTCTTCTCTGGCCGGGCGGTCTCACGGCCAACCTCCGGGCCCGCTGGGCCCTCGTTCTACCTTGGGGTCAGGAGGCCAGGCCTCAGACGCACAGAGGACGCTAAGGCTCTTTTTGTGACTCCCCCGTGCAGATTCAATCGTGTGCATGAGGTTCTGCTGGGGAGGCAGGGTGCGGGGACCCGAGGGGTCACAACGCGGGAAGCTTTGATGGCGGCTGACCTCGCACGCTCCCCGCAGGGCAGCGAGGCGCGGCCGCTCCAGGGAGCGCTGGGCCGGCCGGAGGCCTCCGGGGACAGCTGAAGCCGTCCAGGGGCCGTGCTTTGGTCCCAGGCCCCGACTTTCTTCTCGCCCCTGGCTGTCCTCGGCCTTCTTGAATTCGAGTCACTACCAAAACCAAAAAGCGAGTGGGCGTGGGTGCAGGCTCCTCCGCCTCTCCCAAGAAGCCGTGGGTGGACCCGAGGCCGCGGGGCGCTGGGCGCAGGCCCGGGTCCCCGGGACCGCCAGTGTCCGGCTGCGCTCGGGCGGGCCGGCGGAGGGACCGTGCGGGCCCAGCCGAGGGACGCGGCTGCGGCGCTAGGTTCCACTCGCCAGCGGCGGGAAGGGCGCGCGGGAAAGCGAGGGAGCGGGAAGCGGGCGGCGGCGGCGGCCGGCCCGCTGGAAAGGAGGGAGCGCCGCAGGCGGGAGGAGGCAGCGCGGAGGAGGGAGGCCGGGAGGAAGGAGGGAGCGCGGCAGGCAGGCGGAGGGAGGGCTGATTAGCATGCAGCAGCGCTCGCGCGCCCGGCTCCATTGTTTTAACACCTCCCCTCTCCTCCGCGCCAATCTGTCACCGTTCAGCAGGCGAACGCTGCTGCCTCAAATGCTGCTCTTCTCAAATGAGACGGATAATTAGTTGCCCCGCACGAATGCCGCACTCTTCTCACCCCTGATTGCTATCACCTTCTTGCTCCTGGCAGTTTTGACACCTCGTAATCAGCCTGCTGCTTTTCTCTTTTCTTCCCGACTTCTGCTTCCCTCCCCCCCCCCCCCCCCGCCCCGTCCCTTCCTAGTTGATTTATTTATTTATTACTATTATTTTAAATGCAATCCCGGTGCCTATTTGGAAGAGTCCCTCGCGGAGTTAACCTCCTGCGTGTACGTGTGTGCCTCTCTCTGTATATGCAAACGAGGCTGTGTGCGCGAGCGGGGGGCGGGCCGCAGCCTTGAGGGTAACACAGCTTCCGCGCAGAACGACTTCTCTTCTCCTACAGATTATTTTTGGGAAGGGAGGAGTTGGGGAGAGGGACGGCAGGAAAGAGTTGGGGGAGACCTCAATTAATGCTTTAAAGATCTCTTAAAAATTAACGAACTGGGGAGTCTCGGAATCTGCTGTCAGAAGCGTGTTTTCCCCCTCTCTCCTCTAACAAGCACTGACAGTCTAATTACTGTAGCTACAAGCAGCTGTCGAGGCAGCAGCCCGGGAGGGAAGGCGCCACGGGTTGGGCGCGCGGCGCCGGCCCCTGTACCCATAGCGCCACGGAACCCTGGCCCGACCCCCGCCCGGTGCGGACAAGGCCGGGCCCCGCACCTGTGAGCTGCAGCGAGCCCGGGGCGGGGGCCTGGGAGCCAGCGGACACGCGTTATGGTTGCCTATTTATAAAGTCTGTACCTTGAAGGTTAAAAGATGTGCAGGAGAAAGGAGGGGACGTGGGCGTGGGGGGTTGGGGATGGGAAGAGAGCCTCCTGAGCTCCCACCCAGCCCTTTGCTACCTCCTCGAGCTCTCCCTCTCCCCGTGTTGGTAAAATAACCACGCAACCCGGGCTGAGGGGGCGGGGTGAGCCAGGCTGGAGCGTAAGAAAGCAGATGTCCCCGCTGGCAGCAGCCTCAGCCTCCGGGGAAAGCTGCACCGGGAGGGTCCTCCCGAGGACATTCACCTCCCACTTCTCAGGCATCCCGCTCACAACTGCCTCGCCTCGGCGGGGGTGGTTTTCTCAGACTCAGCGTTTTGCGTGTGCAGCTTTTTTACCTGGGAGCTGTTCTTACCCGGCCACGCTTAGCAGATGCCAAGAGGCAGCCCCTGCACGACCCAGACCAGAGGGAGAGAGACAAGAGGGAGAGACCTGGCGGCTGCCCACTCCACCTTTCCAGCCGTGGCCAGCGCCACCTCTGCAGCTCGGGATGGCGGCCTGCTCACCAGGCCGCCTCTCCTGTGGCCCAAGAAGGTTTCTGGCTTCCAGAAGTTGGAACCCCAACGAAACGAGCTCCCTGCTTCTGCTAAAAGTGGTAGAGGTGGGGGACAGGGTGGCCTGGAGAAGAGGGGTCAGCGTTCCTCTTCCATTTGAGTCACTTTCTGCGAGTAGACCCCAAAGAGTGTGAGGGACTCTTCTCCCCGTGTAGGAAAGGAGAGGGAAAAAGCATTCCCTTTCACGAGACAGGTACTGCAGTATATTCTGGCTGGTACACGCTGGGGAGTTTGTGTTTTTATAATATCGGATGTGTGCAGGAGTGAGCTAGGAGGCTGGGATGAAGGGAAGAGACCTGGATGGTTGTCCAGGGGCATTTCCATTCAGCCCCAGTGGCAACAGAAGATGCACATGCCTTAGAACCCTTCAGAGAACACCTAGTAACTGCTGGCCCCCTGTCCAGGAGCATGTCAATGTGATGTGCCTGGTCCCTGGAGAAGTGCGGGCACCACTCTCGTTCCTCCGCGAGTTAGGGTCTTCCACTGTGTGACACAGGAGCCTGCTCATATTCTCCCATCCCCAACCCTCCAGCTTCAGAGACTCGCTCCAAGAAGGCTTACATTTCTGTTTGAGAGTTGCAAATCAATGTTTACTTCATAAAACGAGAGCCATGCCTCAAACATTTTTAGAAATCAGGGGCTAAGAAACCTAAAAGGCAAGAATCAAAGGGGAAAAAACGCCAAAGGGAAGTCTCATTTTAAATAAATTCTGCAGTTTTCTGAAATGTCTTCCAGTGGCCATCAATCAGGCTGCTAACAATGAATAACAAATTTCCCAACAAGGTTGTGAACAGTTCTAGTCTAAATTAATAAATATGGATAGTCCTTACAGGGTTTTAGATTTGCTCCCATTAAAAATAAATGTGTCTTTAGAAAGTTTGGTTTGAAAAATAATTTTAAAATTCTAAGTGACACCCTAATTGTAATAAATGTCACCTGATCTGGCCATCACTCTGCAAATCGGTTACTGGAAAGAAAACATGAATTTTATAAATTTGTCCAAAACATAATTTATTTAATTTTGTTTTACTCAGACAAAGAACACACTAATGACCACAACATAAGTAACTCTTTTAATAATTAATTCATTTCAGAATGTAGCTACACACACAGTACAAATTAAAACCATGTATATTATTTAAAAAACTAAAGTGTTTAAATAATTCTACCAGTGATTTTATCACTGAGTAAACAACTGTCTTAGGTTTGGCAATTACTCAGACATTTATATTGTCTCTCATTCTCTATTATAGGTTATTCAAAAAGAACATCACCTATAGCATAAATAATCTAAACTTTATAATGAAAAAACAAAACCCTATAAACATTTCAGATCACTTAATTCAATGATTTCAATAGAAATCCAAGCAGTAAGCTTAGAGAGTTGAAACAAATTTAAATTATAATTATATAGCTCTTTAAGTCACATGTAATTTTGAATTATAACAATAAAACTGTAAACATGAATACAATGAATTACAGTTTTATATGCAATGATCTTTTATAAGATAATAAAAGTTACAAAATAAGTCTAGAAAAAAATTCAAATAGCTGTGACACTAAATTTTTCTATAAATGATCTCGAATTTAGTTTACAGTCAAGTATTTATAGTATTACAAAACCCAAAACCATCTCATAGAACTTGATATGTTTGTTTTCAAATGTGTCTTAAGTCTCCCCATTAAAGTGTGAATTAAGATGCCGGAGGAAATCCCCCCTGGATGTAATGGATGGTGGGAAAACTGCTTGACAGAATTCACATACGCGAGGTATATGCAGTTCTGAGTCTGTGCCACTTAGTACCACTAAGTCACTGTCTTGATTAGGAAAGGGCTTCCAAATAGGCTGCAGGAAACAGATAAACAAAGACATCTTCTGTTATTTGTGTTTAAAATCAACTTGCATTTAATTTCAAATTCAGTTTTTTGAACGAGTTATTTATGAGCAATATATGAAATTCACTATTATTAAAGCAAAACACTTTTCCACAGAACCAGCTTGAGGACATGACTCAATTCTTTTTTTTCCCCTATAAAGGGCACAACTGAACTTTGATTAAAAATTCGTTTGACACACACACTTGTGCATTTTATCTTTACATATTTTAAGAATACTGCAGTTTTAGCACCAGCAATTTTTAATGCCCACTTACCACAACAGTAGTAGTTTTGGAACAACAGTCAGTTCTTTAGACTTTTAAATTAAATTAATTTCTACTTTACAATAGAAATCTTAACTAATAGGGCCTTTTTAAATATATGGTACATTAGGATGTGTGTAGGTGTGTGTCTGTGTGTGTGTGCAGACAATGAAAAGTGATTTCTTTTTTTTCCCCACCCATGAAAAGTAATTTCAACTTCACTGCAATTTAAAAGCAAATACACACTGAATAATCACATATGAATCAGTATTATTTTAAGTTTTAGAAAATTTTTCTTTTACGCTTCTAAAATTTAATTAGTTCTTTTTGCTTTTGAAGTTTCAACTATTTAATCGTTCAATGACATTTAATATCACATGCATTGTTTGAATCATTTTGTAGAAAATAGTTTGGCCTTATTACTCTTTAATATGGCTGAACAAAATGAAACTCATCAAATTTTGCCTACTTAAAGAACTAAGGAAAATTATAATTTAATAGAACCATTTCCATTATAACGAGCACAAAGACCCATCTAAATAACTACACTTATCTTCTTATTTAAAAAAAATCTAGAAAGACAAGAAATAGCATGGAGTTTAATATTAGGTGCTCAATAAATGTTTGTTGACTGGAAAATACCTGATTTTTTCAATTGTGTAAATCCAATGATTTAAACATTTTTCTTTCTTACCTTGACATAAGTGTACTGTCCTGACATAGCTGAATTCTGATACTTTGAAGAGAGTCACCTGATAAAGTCAACTTAAAGAGCTCACTTTATAATAATGTGTACTTAAAGAAAACAGCCTAGTTCTGCACCTGACACAATGTTAATTTTCATTCCCTTAACTTGCTGCATTCTAGTTAACCTATCATTTACATAAATGGTATATTACTAATTGAAGAATCTGGCCTTTGTGACATCATTGTCTTCTTGAAAACATTTTACTGGACATCTGTGTACAGCTGGTATAAATATATAAAGTCTGTAGAGGCACTGAGATACAAATTTCAGTACACAGGACTTACTGGTTACTGGCTCAGTTCCTCTGTCTGAAGCAGCAATTTTATCATAAAAATAATAACACTTAAGTGTTAAAAAATTGGGGTAAGATAATTTTGTTTAGAACAATTTTTCTTTCATGATACAGAAAAGCAGTAAGTATGAGTATATAAACAAAAGCCTAAGTTAGAATTAACTAGATTCAAATTTTACTGTTTGCAGTTTAAACAAAAAAGTAGAAACCACTTTAATGGGAACTTGATATGGTTATGTATAAAACATTATTAAAGATAATTCTTATTAAGATCCATTAACTAATAAGAAATTAACTCAAAGGCAGAAACAGTTTAGCTTTTAAATTTCATAAGCCATTCTTCCACTTGCAATCCTCTCTTAGGAGCTGTTAATTCAGATTTTCTCTCTTTACAGAATTTAGTTGGAACCCCAATCACTGAGTCAGCAATTAAGAAAAAAAAATCATATAGAACAAAAGTAAGTTGATATCTCTGTTCTGATACTAGAATGTATAAAAGAAGTATTTAGTAGTAATTATTGATATAAAGCAAAAACTTGAAATATGTATTCAAAATTTCACTTCTTTGTTACTATGAACAACTCAGGAATTTTGTATTTATCATACCAGCTTTATTAATACATTTTACATAGCAAAATGTTCTTAAAAGCCCTTTTTAAAGATATATCCTTTTAATCCTGAACTGTAACATAGCCTTCAAAACTAATTTCTTTGCTTTTTCTGCCAAAATATCAATTATCTAACCTTATGCCCCATGTCTTGTGACAGCTCAACACCAATTCTCCTGCAGTTTTTAAGCTGAATACTGTTCCATCAAGTTGTAATCACATACCAGCTGTTTCCCTTGCTGTAGTACAGAAAGCAAATGTACAATGCAGGGTGCCATCTACTGAAACATGAATGCACAGACTAACTAGTAAAGAACAAGCAAGTATAAAAGAGAAAAAAGTAACAAATATTAGAATGGATGGACTTTACAGCTCCACAGGAATTCTACTTGCAATAAATGGAACTGTTAAATTTGTTTCATTTAGTAGCAACTATAACCGAAGACTATGCTATAAAATAAAGACAATGTAGAATATAACTGAGTTTATAATTATTGTCAGTAATGCCTAGTTTTTTCTCATTATTAAAATATACCACAGCTTGGCTATTGCTTCTTTTGCATGCTGATTTAAAAGTCTGCAACCTATAAGAATATTTAAAGCTAAAGGGTATTAATCAATTTTTTTTGGTTTTGTGTAAATTGTGCATCTCAAAGCATAGAAAAATCAAACAAATGTTTGCAACGTATATAGACAATTACAACAATCTGTACTTTCATACACTTCTGTTTATTCTAACAATTCATATTCTTCACTTGCCTTTGAGCACTAAACAGAATAATTTTTACTCTACAATAGAACCTCAATCTAAACGGGAGGGTAGAAGTAGGCTGGGGAGTGTAAGCAGTCTGGGAGCTTTAGAAATGTTAAATATTTGACTGAAATCAAACATATGCTGGTATTATTCAAAAATATATTAGACTGCCTATTCAGTAGCAGATTAGCAAGCAAAACCAAAACTAAACCCTGCAGATATAAAGACAATGTAACCGAGAATGTAATAGAAGTATTAGCTGAAAGACAACTCACTTATTTGATAAGCAGGAAAACACAATTTTTTACTTACATTAGATCGTATTCTTATAAAGAGTATTATATACATAAAATTTTCATAAAAAACATGTTTCACATTATTAAATTTAATAAACAATTCTATTATCATACTGAGCTTTGAATAAGGGACTAGGAAAGTGACACCATGATAGATATAGATAAGACTGACATGTATTTTAAAATCTGCCATAAATTTTAAGGTGCTTTATAACAGAGATTTATCATATTTGTCTTTCATAATTTCAGGTCTCTTATTATAGGATTTGCATGTTTTATCAAAAGCCTTAACTTTGGCTAGTCACTAGTTTAAAAAGAAGGTCCAGTAACCCAAAAGAGATGCATATCTGTGCACGGATGGCAAAATGTGTGTTCACACATAATAATGTATTTGTTAATGTAAAACAGTTACCTGCTGTGGTCCTCGGATAGCTTTTCCTGGGGAATCGAGTGAGGGAAAAGGTGCATCAGACGAGTCCTGAAGTGGGAATGTATTTACATATAAAGCATTATGGTCTCCAGGTGGCAAACACGCAGCTCTATCCAGACTTGTCCTGATACAAGTGTTTACAAGAGCTGAGGTTTTCGTTTTGTCAGTTGTTTTAAGGTTTTGTATAGCTGAAGCTATGGGGTCAATTCCCTGAATTTCAAATGAAGTTTCTTCTTTTTCAACAAAGTTTCCTGGGTTGTCTCTGAGCTCCATGTTAAATTTGTCCTGGCATACTGCCTCAGATGTGGCAGGACCAAGGATGTTGAGTAGCTCTGGAGTGCTATGCAAGAAAGTAGAGTCATTGTCCATAGGAGGAAACTTGACATTGAATTTAGAAAGTGATTCAAAAGAGGTGTCTTCCTCATCTCTGCCCAGTCCTCTTGGTGTGACGGATGTGACGCATGGTGTACCTCTATTTATATCATCTTTAGCCCGAGGCTTAAACAGCGCTTCTTGTTTATCTGTTTTATCCGTACACTGTATAGGCACAGAACACTGTGTTTCTACAGGGAAAATGAACATAAAAGGGAAAGTTGTATTCAAATCATTCTTAAAAATCTGTTCAATCAGCTTTGGACAGATGAGTATTATTTTTTCTACTGGTTTTTATAGCAACCAAAGACAACAGCGATTTTTATATTCATTATCATCTTACCCAGGAATATTAACAGTCTCCAGCGGATGAGCTGGGATGTAGCTGATTAACTGTAGTTTAAATACGTTGTCTCTTTGGTCTTTTCTGTAAAGCTTTGCATCTTGTTCACAGTTACACTGCTCCACACTTAAAAAACATTTGCTTATAGTGTATACATTAAAACATTTTGTCAGTAATGGAAGCTGCAACTGTGAGCTTAGTTAGATAAATAAATGTTAAAAGGGAAAAGTCTTATAAATTAGGTCATTTGCTATTTACCACAGGAATTAGATAATTTATCCCTCCTCCCACCCCCAATATCACTATGTAACTAAGCATGAGGTACTTCAAAAAGTTCATGGAAAACTGGAACTAGACATTAAGTTTATTTTAGCACAAAGACATTGTTTTGAAATCCGTATATACTCATGTATCTCTAACAGTTCAGCCGCTGTCAACTCTCAGTAATCCCTGTGAGGGAGCGGGGGTGGGGTGTGTGTGCATGAAGGTTGAAGGTTGGGGAGAAGGAAAACAGTGGAGACAGAAGAACAATGGAACTCAGGGATGCATGCTAAGTCAACTGTATGTGACTATCTGTGACCTCCAAAGACAACAGGTAGGTATCAGGTAGATAGTGGGGTCTCTGTAGCTCATTTACCTAGAAGCCACTTACCCAGCAAATTTAGCTTTCTAGGACATTGCCAAAGCCAAGAGCTAGAAAGCAATTCAGAAGAGCCTCTGAGGAAGTAGAACTACAGGCTCCATAAATACATGCAGGTACCATAAAAAGTTAACGGGAAATGGAATTAAAAGGCAATCCTTTTTGGTGCAAAAATGTTGAAACTCATGCATATTTATTTTGTAATAACATTTCCACAAACTTTCTGAAGTATCTTCCTATAAATTCTGCTCCCAGACTCATCTTAGGTTTATTTTTACAAGCTTGGTGATGTTTCCATAGTTCATAGATGGTTTGAAACAAAAAACTAATGGGGATATTATTTGTTAAAGGCAGATACAGATACCAACAAGATGCATGGGAAGTGACAAGAAAACAAAAGCAGAGAGAACTCAGAATCCACTCTGTCTAGTGCAGGACCAAAACAAAAGGCAATGATCAAAGGACTCTTTCCTGATGATTTTGAGACACCTGTATCAAAAGCTAAACTATTCTCTACACTGTCATTTCAAGAAGGCAGTGAAGTTGATTTTATATATACATACAAATATATATACTCATTCCTTGGATTAATGGTAAAAAATTAAAATTTAGCATTTAAAAAAGATCATCTGGCCAGCGCCACAGCTCACTAGGCTAATCCTCCGCCTTGTGGCGCCGGCACACCGGGTTCTAGTCCCAGTCGGGGCACCGGATTCTGTCCCGGTTGCCCCTCTTCCGGGCCAGCTCTCTGCTGTGGCCAGGGAGTGCAGTGGAGGATGGCCCAAGTGCTTGGGCCCTGCACCCGCATGGGACACCAGGAGAAGCACCTGGCTCCTGCCATCGGATCAGTGCAGTGCACCGGCCGCGGCAGCCATTGGAGGGTGAACCAATGGCAAAAAGGAAGACCTTTCTCTCTCTCTCTCTCTCTCTCTCTCTCTCACTGTCCACTCTGCCTGTCAAAAAATAAAAAATTAAAAAAAAAATAAAAAAGATCATCTTCAGTGAAGCTGTATACTCACAAATAGAAACTTTATTAATGATGCAGGTTTAAGTAGACAGGGTGTTCAGATCACTTTGTACAATGTCTGTCTGAGTTAAAGGTACTTAAAAAATGTCATTTCCTTTATATTCCTTTGGTTTTTGTAGTCTCATGACACATTGCCACAGTATGTTCCAACATAAGATATTTTCTGTTTGCATATGTGTAGTACATGCAACCAACTTCTTTGGTTCATCCTCTAATACCTCTTGCCTTTTTTTTTTAAGTCCATATTATTCTCTCTTTGCTTTCTTGCCTCTGAATTCATCTCATATCCAATCTGTTCTCTATTTTGCGACTTCCCCTTCAGCCCTCCTCCTCATAGGGGTTACTCTAAATTAAATATCTGGGCCGGCGCCACGGCTCACTAGGCTAATCCTCCACCTGCGGCACCGGCACTCTGGGTTCTAGTCCCTGTTGGGGCGCCGGATTCTGTCCTGGCTGCTCCTCTTCCAGTCCAGCTCTCTGCTGTGGCCCAGGAGTGCAGTGGAGGATGGCCCAAGTGCTTGGGCCCTGCACCTGCATGGGAGACCAGGAGGAAGTGCCTGGCTCCTGCCTTTGGATTGGCGCAGGGCATCGGCTGTAGCAGCCATTTGGGGAGTGAAACAATGGAAGGAAGACCTTTCTCTCTGTCTCTCTCACTGTCTAACTCTGCCTGTCTAAAAAAAAAACTCCTTGTAAGTAGCTCCTGGTCCCCTCTCCATGCTCATCTTTTACCATACCTGCTTCACCCCACAGTTCAGCTATGGTAATGTTTATATAATTCTCCAAAACAGTCACAGTATCTGGTCTCTGGACCTTTGCACATGCTGTGCAGACTGCTTCAGGTGTTGCCTCCCACTACTTTTTGTCTAACTCTTACTAGTCCTTCATATCTTGACTCAGATAACACGTCATCTGGCCTTAACTCTTGGGTTCCCTGGGACTGAATGCTCTATGCTATATTACCAAGTATATCTCTCTTCCTCCTACTACATTAAGATTTTTGAGGTTCTAAATTAAGGTTTTGTTTCCTACTTACCCTGATACTCTACCCAGAGTCTAGCACATGTTCTATGCCCTCAATAAATGAATTTTGAATGTATCTACATTCTATTTTCCATAGAATCTGGGATAATAACCTACATTTACTAGATAACCTGTTTGTGACTAGGAGTCATAAAGTAATTGAGACCAAGTTCAAACCATTTAGCTGGGTTTCCTTGACCTCTTAAGTTCTTTAAGTCCATTACCTTTTTTTTTTTTTTTTGAATTTTTTAAAGACAGTATTTACTGGGGCTGGCACTGTGGCACAGAGGGTTAATGCCCTGGCCTAAAGCGCCAACATCCCATATGGACGCTGGTTCAAGACAGGCTGCTCCACTTGTGATCCAGCTCTCTGCTATGGCCTGAGATAGCAGTAGAAGATGGCCCAATTCCTTGGGCCTCTGCACCCACGTGGGGGACCCAGAAGAAGCTCCTGGCTCCTGGCTTTGGATCGTCACAGTTCCGGCCATTGTGGCCAATTGGGAAGTAAACCATCAGATGGAAGACCTCTTTCTCTCTCTCTCTCTCTCTCTCTGCCTCCCCTCTCTCTGTGTAACTCCTTCAAATAAATAAACAAATCTTTTTTTTTTTAAAAAAAGACATTATTTACTTATTTGAAAGGCTGAGGTTGAGGGGGAGGAAGAGAGGGGGAGAGGGAAAGAGAGAAAGTGAGAGAGAGAGAGAGAGAGAGAGAGAGAGAGATGCTTCTACCCACTGGTTCATTCCCCACATGGCCACAATGGCTAGAACTGGGCCAATCTGAAACCAGGAGCTTCTTCTGCGTATCCCATGTGGGTGCAGGGGCCTAAGCACTTGAGCCATCTTCCACTGCTTTCCTAGGCCATTAGCAGGGAGCTGGATTGGAAATGAAGTAGCTGGGACTTGAACCAGTGCCCATATGGGATGCCAGCACTGCAGACGACAGCTTTATCCACTATACCACAGAGCTGGCCCCAAGTCCATTAACTTTCAAGTAGTCATTTTTCCTTAAGAAAAAGAGACTTGAGTGTGGCAGGAAATTCTAGGAAAAAGTACTTCCTTTGCAGATAATTTTTGCTAATCATAAGTATATCAAGAAAATGAACTGATGTGGTAATAAAATCCTGTAACACTTCAGAAGGAAAGACAGGACAGGAAAGGACAGGAAGGAAAGGAGGGCAGGACAAATGCTAAAGAACCAGCTGCCACTGCTAGTGGCAAGGACTATTTTTTTTTTTGACAGGCAGAGTTAGACAGTGAGAGAGAGAGAGACAGAGAGAAAGGTCTTCCTTCCGTTGGTTCACCCCACAAATGGCTGCTACGGCTGGCGCACTGCACCGATCCGAAGCCAGGAGCTAGGCGCTTCCTTCTGGCTTCCTCCTGGTCTCCCACACGGGTACAGGTGCCCAAGCATTTGGGCCATCCTCCACTGCACTCCTGGGCCACAGCAGAGAGCTGGACTGGAAGAGGAGCAACCGGGACAGAATCCGGCACCCCAACGGGGACTAGAACCCAGGGTGCCGGTGCTGCAGGCAGAGGATTAGCCTAGTGAGCCGCACGCTGGCCAGTGGCAAGGACTATTAACATTATTTATTTATTTATTTATTATTTATTTATTTATTTATTTATTTTTGACAGGCAGAGTGGACAGTGAGAGAGAAAGGTCTTCCTTTTGCCGTTGCTTCACCCTCCAATGGCCGGCGCTCTGTGGCCGGCGCATCGCACTGATCTGAAACCAGGAGCTTCTCCTGGTCTCCCATGGGGTGCAGGGTCCAAGGACCTGGGCCATCCTCCACTGCACTCCCGGGCCATAGCAGAGGGCTGGCCCGGAAGAGGGGCAACCGGGAAAGAATCCGGCGCCCCGACCAGGACTAGAACCCGGTGTGCTGGCGCCGCAGGCGGAGGATTAGCCTATTGAGCCATGGCGCCGGCCTAAGGACTATTAACATTAACAGCACTTCCTGTGCCATGGACTGTGAAATCACTGCATGTGGATCCATTCACATAATTCTCAAAATCACCCCGAGTTACTCACTGTTGTTATTATTCCCATTTTCATGTGAAGAAACTGGGACATGGAGTGGTTAATTCCAAAGCTACAGACCTAGTGAATGGCACATCTGGCACTGGAACCCAGGCAGTCTAAATCCAGAGTCTGTGCTTTGAACCATTAGGCAAAATTGAACACACTCATTTCTGTAGATAGAGGAGTTCCCAAACTGACAGTCCCCAAACTGAATTCCTTTTCTAGCAACTGACCTATCTCCCTTGTGAAGAAAACATGGAGAAATCAAACAGCTGTAACAAAACAGGTATTTTCTTTCAACATAGCTAGCTGGTGTATAACCTCAGCCACATTAAAATAATCTGAGTTAATCTACTTAGGCACTGAGAATTAATATCTATTAAAAATACTTAAACCTCAGATTCCCAAGGCTATTAGAAATTCATGCTTAGAAAATGTAAAACTCAAATGAAGTATGTGAAAACATTTGTCATCTTGACCCCATACCAGGGAAACACCATCAGATGAGCAAATAACTTTCCTAATTCAAGAATAATATTTTTTCTTTGCAAGGAAAAAAATAAAATGAGAATATTTTTAGATTTCTACATTTTCCATATTATCTATGTCAGACTATTAGTCTAATTATCTCCTCTGTTGGCAAAAGAAATAGACCTGATGGCTGTTTCTAACTCATAAACCTATACTTTTCTCTCCTAATCCCATTGAAATAGTACCTTCCTTTAAAATCAGAACCTCCTTTATAAACCAAATAGTACTTTTTTCAGAAGCCGTATTTGCTTAAACATACATTTTGTTATCTTTTTTCAAGGTTACTGTCATGCAGGCGAGTAGAAAAACCAAAGTAATAAAAAGGAAATGTACAATTCTAATAATTCAACATTTTTCATGAATTATATACAGTTATTTAGAAGTAAAAATAAGAGTGAGTTTTGAGGCACAGCTGGTTAAGCTGCTGCTTGGAACACCTGCATCCCCTACTGGAATCAGTTTGGGTCCCTGCACCTCTACTTCGGATTCTAGATTCCTGCGAAAGCATCCTGGGAGGCAGCAGATGGTGGTTCAAGTGCCTGGACCCATGCCACCCACATGAGGGATTCAGAGTTCTGGCTCCTGCCTTCAGCCTCACCCAGCACAGGTTGTTGCAGGCATATAGGAAGTGAACTAGCAGATAGAAGGGCTCACTCTCTCGCTCTCTTTTGCTTGTTCTGCCTTTCAAGTAGGTGAAAACAAACTTTTTTTAAAAAGTAAAAATAAAATTTTAACAAAAAATAACTTATGGGAAATAATGTTAAATAGCTCTCACATCTCATGCAAATAATATTTGAAACAGTTCCTGTATATTTTGATTCAATGTGGCATACATACTTGGAAATACTTAATAGGCATCTTTTCCCAAAATATTTCCTTTTCCTTCTTTCCCTTTTTGATCTATTACTGTCAGAGCCCAATATTTTTACTTTGGTTCCTGTTTGGACCCAGCAAAACTTCACTGGAGTCTGTAGCACAACAGATATAAAACATTTCAAGAATAATGTTATACTTGTTATTTGTGACAACAGTTAATATAAAGCATAAGAATAACATTAGGAAGCAGTTTTAGTGGGGAAAAAATTGAAGTTAAACACTCAGTGTTCTGGTTGACAGATACATACTCAGATTTAGACCTGTGCAATTTAAAAATGGTCAAAGTATTAAGCCATTGATAATGGGGTAAGTTCTCTGTGTAACAAAGAACATATCACCATTACAATGTTTTGATAAGATGTTGATGTTCAAAAAAGCATGTTTATGACTTCTAGGTACTGTATCTCTATAGCTAGCATATTATAAACAAAAATAATGCACTTACTTCAGAGATACCCAGTATCTTTCATCTGTACAAAATATCAATTTCTCACGAAAATAACAAAAATTAAAGTGGAGAAATAAGTTACTTTTGGAGAGGTGAGGGAAGGAAAAAGAAACAAATTATGTCGGTTTACAAAGATTATTTTGTTTCTTCAACACCACATTGTATAACATTTCTAAAAATAAAATTATAGTAGCAAAAAGCGAATTATGATATAAAATAAGTTATTTTCCATTACAGAAAATGATCTTTAATTAAAGGAGTGCTAGGCAGCACTGCTGCAACATCTCTCAGGGGGAAAATGTAAATCACACCTCTTGGGAATTGTCTGAAGAATATCTCAAATCACAAGAGCAAAAAAGAATTAATCAGAAGTGATCAGTAAACCTTCCTTTTGTTTACAGAAGTGTTTGGTTACCACACTCAATTCCTTGTATTTTGCTTTTCACATTAAAGTACTGAACAAATACCAGGAAGCCAGTCTGGGGCTTTATGGAAAGGTGGTGCTTTTAAGAATATTACTGCAACATATGTATAAAACAGATGTTCCTTCTAAGTTGTATTTTATAATAAATTTGTACTTTGTGCCTTCAGTATAACTGGCCCTCAGAAAATTTGAGTGTCATATTTAAAAACATTAATTAATTAATATACTTATTTATTTAAGTTGGAAAGAGAAGGAGGGATGGTGAAAGGGAGGGACAGGGGGAAGAAAAGAGTGAGAGCGAGGCAGCACTCCTACTGTTGGTTTACTTCCAAATTCCTGCAATGGCTAGGGCTGGGCTAGGCTGAAGGTAGGAAGGGGATGCTACCCAGGCCTCCCATGTAAATTACAGGAACCCAACTATTTGAAACATCACTGTTGCCTACCAGATTCTTCATTTGGCAAAAAGCCGCAATCAGGTGTAGGGGTCAGAAATTGAAATGAGAGACTCCAATGTGGATATGGGCAACTTAACTGCTAAGTTAAAAGTCAATCCCTACATTTTTATTCTTGAACCAAGTTAGTGTTGAATAAATTTTGAGGAAGGAGTTAAAAACAAGCCCAATTTTGTAATTTTATTTAGCTCTTATATAGTAGTATAGCTTTAAAGTCCAACAATAAGTTAATGCTTAAAAAGATTCACAAATAGCAAATAGAAACTTTTAGGGGTAAATGCTGTATTTATTTTGTATTTTCCAAAGTGAGACTTCTCATTAAATAATTAGTAATTACATCATTCAGTTCAATCTATATGGTACCACATCCAACGAAGACAGAGAGAAAAAGCCAGTACTTACATAATGTAATACATTACAGAACTTCAACAGGGCATACTCATTTAAATATAAAAAGCACTTAGTAAATTTTTAGAAATACTTTCACATTCAATTTCAACCAGTCTAACCTTACCAATTACAGTGTCCGGTATATTAAGTTTGCTTAAGTGATCCTTTTGTGCTTTTGCTAGCAGGCAAATTCTATGAAATTCTTCTTTCAGATCCCAGAAAGTCTTCTCTATATTATCCCTAAAAACAGGTAAATATTTTAAAAGATAAAGCTAAAACCCTAGATTTTTTAAACATACTGAAACATTGCACAACTTTATATACTACAAAATAATTACTGAAGTGTGAAACAATTATTTTAAATTCCTAAAAAATGTTCCCAAAGACAACTACAATGTTTGGAGAGCCAGGTACAAAATACGAGGCTAAAAAGTTCTAACATGTAAATGTAGTGCAGAGTAGCCTACCTCCTTATTCATGGAACACTGACACTGGCTGTCTTACCTCATTCTCACATTAGAAATTTCAATGTATTGATTTTTGTTTTCTATAAACATGTTGAATAGAATATTAAATATTACTCATTTTAGTAAGGTTCACATTAGGATCTATTCATGTAAAGCCATATGACCACAAAACTTGGTCTATTGAAATAATGGAGAATCTAATCTTCAGAACCAGCTCTGCTATTAACTATATGACTTAGGTAATTTTAGGAGGCTTGCATTGATTTCTTTCAGGTATAAAAGGCTGCTATTTTATTATAACTGCTAAAATTTAAAAATACATAAACATGGGGCCGGCATAGTGGCATAGTGAGTAAAGCTGCTGCCTGCAGTGGCAGCATCCCATATGGGTGCCTGTTCGAGACCTGGCAGCTCCACTTATGACCCAGCTCTCTGCTGTGGCCTGGGAAAGCAGTGGAGGATGACCCAAGTGCTTGGGCCCTTGTACCCACGTGGGAGACCCAGCTCAGCACACCTGGGCCACTAAGGCCATGTGGGGAGTGAACCAAAGGATGGAACACCTCTGTCTCTGCCTCTGCTGCTGCCTCTCTGTAACTCTGCCTTACAAACAAATGAATAGATCTTTAAAAAATACATAAACATAAAATGTATTCAATACTTATGATTAATTGGCAAAAAAAGAATGTACAACTACCTTTCATGAAATAAAGGAACACCAAGACTCTTTGGTGATGTTTCTTTTCTAGGAGAAGAAAGCTCTTGTCTTCTTTCCTTAAAGACACAAAATGATTAGTATTTAAAATTACTTCCAAACTCCTAAGACTGGTAAGCAGAAAACATATGGAAAATCTATCTCTAAAATAAATTGAGGCAGATCATATATATATATATATTTATATACATATATATGTTTTCTTTAAATGAGAACAATCAAGAAAAAGGAAAAGGAAGATCCAAAGTGAGAAAATATGAAGTATTTTTAATAATTTCTTTAATTACTATTGCAGTGTTGGTAACTCCAGGAATTTCTTAAATTCAACTATTTACCAAAATCTTACTTTAATCACCAAGTACCTCACATGAGTAGAAACTCTGGGGGAAAACGAATCGGAGTGTTTACTTCTTTTAGCACTAATAATGGAATATATATTTAAATCAATATATTTGCCTTTTTGGTACAATTCCATGCTGAATAATGTAGCCATTATAGAAGAAGAAAGAAAACCTTAGGATTTTACAGCACCTTAGGATTTAACAAGCATTATAAAGGTTTGTAAAGCCACTGCAATTACAGAGGCTGCTTCAACACAAGTTCTTGCCTTTCACTCCCACCTTGTGGTTTATACTGGTATTACATTTATTCTGACAAAAACATTAAAAAAAGTAGTAATTTATTCTATAGTTCAAATTAATAAAAAAACCTTTGTAATCATATCTAGAGGGGTTTGTGTACTTTCTGAAGTACCACTGACAAACTCAGAGATATGAAGTTCTAATAATATATAATCATAAATTCAGTCAGAATTGTATAATTCTTATTTAAGTTTAAATCCAAAACCAGGGTACATTGATCTTTAGTGACTTTCAGATTTTATTCAATGAAGGTTATTATAGCTATTATTAAAATGGAAGATTATGCTTCACTGTTTCATTTTTGTTCATACTGATTTATTTGAAAGGTAGAGTGACAGAGAAGACAAAGAGATACTTTCCGTCCTTCGTTCACACCTCAAATGCCCACAACAGCCAGTGTTAGGCAAGGTTGAAGCCAGGAGCCAGCATGGTCTCCCATGCTGGAGGCAGTAGCAGTAACCTAAGTACTTGGGTCATCATTTGCTTCCCTGGTGCATTAGTAGGAAGATAGAGCAGAAGCCCAGAGTAGCCAGGACTTGATCCAGGCACTTTGATATGGGATGCAAGCATCGCAAATGGTGACTTAACTACGACACTACTTAACTGCTACCGCGCACCCCACTTCACTGTTTCCAATCACCTAAGTGTATGTCCTCTTAATCTTGCTCTTCAAAAGATTCCTTTTAGGAGCGGGTGTAGGGATGCTGCATCCTGTATCAGAGTCCCTGTTCAAGTTCTGCCTCTACTTCTGATTGAGCCTCTTGCTAATGAGCATTCTGTGAAGTGACAAGCGACGGCTCAGGTACCTGGGTCTCTGGATTGAGTTCACGGCTCCTGGATTCAGCCTGACCCAGCATTCAGGAAAGGGTAGTGAAGAATGAGAACCTTTTGTTTGGATGGATAAATAACTGGTGGCACCTTACTTCTGTGATACTTAGGTTTGATAACTAGTGAGCATCAATCTATCAGGAAAAGACTCCTTGGGTGTACTGGCAGGGAATATTTTGAAGATACAAACTTATTAAGGGATTTTTAAAAAAATTGTTTATGTATTTATTTTACTGAATCCAAAGGTAAAGAGACAGTGAAGTCTCCCATCAGCTATTCCACTCTCCAAATGCCTGTAACAGTCAGGGCTGGTTAGGCCAAAGCCAGCAGGCATGAACTAGTTCTGGGTCTCCCATATGGTGGCAAGAACCCAATTACTTACGCCATCATCTGTGCCTTCTAGGCTGTGTATTAGCAGGAAGCTGGATTGGAAGCAGAGCCAGGACTTCAGCCCAGGGCTCTGATATGAAATGCTGGCATCCCAAGTAGTGTCTTAACTGCTATGCCAAATGACTGTCCCTTATTAAGGAATTTCTATGAAATATCTATACTAAGGTCTTCAGCTTTATTGGCGTTAGGAACACAGCTCTGCTTACTATTGTTTCCAATCTTATTGAATTAGTACTGGTAGTACTAAGTAATACACTGTATCTTCCATCTATAATACATAATACATCTATTATGATATTTCAAATGAAAATTTACAGTATCAAGTATTCAAGAAAAAATTTCAAAAAAGGACCTAACATATTAAAAAAAGAAAAAAAGGCAAGCAGTTTTCTGAAAGACATTTTGAAATAGGGTTTAGAATGGTTATAGCATGCTAATACTATTTTCAATTATAGCAATTGGGGTACTACTTTCTGAAAATAATCATTATTTTCAAATGATTCAGGATTTCTATAGTTAATGTCAACTTTAACACTTTTTCTGGAAACACAAAATTTCTTTTTAATGCTATGTTATTCTACTTAATGAAGATTACTCAGTTTGGTAACATTCCAGAGAACAAATAAACATTAGAAAGAGATAAAGCATATTTTTTTCTTTTTTATTCTCAAAAAAATATCCAAGTGGACCCTATACTGCAGGAAGATGAAGTTAAGTGTAACTTCAAATAAGAAAATATGGGAATTTTCAACACTATATTTTAGGAGATCTTAAGCATTCCATCATTCAACAAATGAGTTTATTTTGAGGTACTAAAACTTAAAATACTTATCATAAACTGTCCCAAGTATTAATTTGGAAATGTCAAACTTGTGGAATGAATGCTGAAATAAGAGTTTTGTGCATCACACTTTCATATACACTTTCAGTATTGTGCCAGATAAGTCATTCAACTAAATCCATTAAGTTAAACCCATCTGCAACAGTTGGAAGATGTTATGAAATGTTTCCTTAAATTTCCTCTTATGTGAATTGGGAGATTTTTGACTTAGTGTAAATCAATTTAAGTTTCTCATGGAAGGGTATTATATATAAAAAACCCATATGTTTAAGGGCTAGTTAAAATGTAATCATATTTAAGAAGAAAAAAGTGGCTGAAGTATTATTCCAAAACCAAGTTTACTCTTAAAAACTATTTATTTCAGAGGCAGCAAGATGTACTTATAGACAGACAGCTCCTATCTGCTGGTTTACCCCCCAGATGCCCACAATAGCTGTGGCTGGGCAGGGGCTGAAGCTCAGAGTTGGGAGCTCAATCCAGATCTCCCACATGGGGTGGCAGGAACCAAATTATTTAAACCATCACTGCTGCCTTCCAAGGAAGGTCTGCATTAGCAGAGAGCTCAGATCAGGAACTAGAGTTGGGAATCGAATTCAGGTACTCCATATGGGAGGCAGGCATCTTTAACAAGTAGGTTAAATGCCCCCTCTCCCAAGTTTGTTTTTTAAAGCAAATAATGGAAAATGGCTTTGTACATTCTAGGATCTGTTAGATACACACTTCTTAAAGAAAAGAAGGGTACATTTCCCCTAACAGTTGCCTTAGTAATAGCTAGTACTAAAAGTCAAAGTATTTTTTCCTTTTCTAAAATATGGAGGCCAGAGTTGTGGCTTAGAGGGTTAAGCTGCTGTTTGCAATGGCAGCATCCCATATTGGAGTGCAGTTCAGTCCCAGCTTCTCTGCTTCAGATCCAGCTTCTTAATGTGCTGTGGAAGGCAGCAGTTGATGGCCCCAGTGCTTGGATGACTGCCACCCACGTGGGAGACTTGGATGGAGTTCCTGGTTTCAGCCTAGTCCAGCTCTGGCTGTGGCGGCCATTTGGGAATGAACCATGTATGGAAGATTCTCTCTCTCCCCGTCTTTGTCACTCTGCCTTTCACATAGATAAATAAATAAATAAATCTTCAAAAGCATAAAAAATAACAGAAAAAGCAATTAAAAATTCTCATTTGGAGTCATGTTTTTCTTTAACACTTTTAGAAAAGCTTCAGTTATGGAAAGTTTGAATATGATACTGAGTATACAGATTAATATTAATGTATGTGTATGTTCTCTCATGTGTAAGGGACCTAAAAGTTTAGAGGCTAGCATTAGATAAATGAGGTAAATTTTCAGTGATTCATATTTGAACCACAGCAGTGCCTACCACTTTATTCTAGTGATCCTATCAAAGACTCCCTCTAAACTTTAGTTGGCATCTTTACATGCAAAATAATATTTTTTAAGTAGCTCAGGTAACTGAGTATAGTCAATATTTTATTTAATTTCTGGAAGAGGCCAGCAGAATTATGCTTTTAAAACACATGAGAACTGTGTTCTTACTTGGATCTGTTTAAAACAAGAACTAAGCTAGGGTGAGATGGGATGGATTGGTAAAAGGAATATAAATTATGGAATAGTTATAAATACTAGCTTGATAAAATTCATGACAGAAAAAGGAAAAATGAGCAGTGAAAAAGAAACCAAAAATAAAGATCCACTTATCACTTAGATTTTTGAAATCTAAGAATAAAATTCTAAAGGAAGAACTGAGATTGAATATTTCCTTACCAGTTTTAGATATGCTGAAACAAAAGATGTTACGGTGGTGTCAGCATTGGATATGGTTGAATTAGGAAGAAAATGAAAGAAAGGGCTAAAAGAAGGAAAAAGATGAGGCAGAAAACAGGAGCAGAAAAAAAAAATTACAAAAGATGATTTGATGCAAAAGCACAGTAAAATAAAGAGTCTGAGGACAAAAGGCTAGAAAAAGATGCAAGGAAACTGTATTTATAAGAACTTAATGGCCATATGCAACCTATGCTTCTCTCACCATCATTAACATTCCTGAAAATCTAGCAATGTAAGAGGAACACAAATCCTAGGAGCCTTGTCTGTTCCGCATGACACAGTGTGCTAGGCAGACACACTGCCAGTGTGGGAACAACTCCAGGCAAAATGGGATTCATCCCAGAGTTCTGAAGGAAGTGGCAAGAAAAATAAACAATATAAAAATAAAATGAGACACCCCCTTACTTCCAAGTTCTTTACAGGGTTCCAGTTCAACGTAAATCTCAAGAAAATCTCTATCAATTCAAGGCTACAATAAAACGTGTTCTTTGAAAAAAAAAAAAAGGTAAAATCCTCTACCACAACTGCT